CCCTAAATAATTATGATTTGGCGTTACTCATTGAGATTTGAGGTGGGGTTTTAATTTATCTTGGAAAGTAGTGTGGTTAGCTGCAACAAAAAGAGCAAGTCCGAGGGTAAATTTGTCATTTGGGAATGCAAGGACGGAGACCTCAGACGTGTGCATCATGAAGGACCAAGTTTTGGGAAAAGGATCTTGGGGATCCGGAAGATCTGTGATTGTGTCTATTTATTGTACATTATACGGTTAGAAATTATTTTAAATTTAAAATTAAATATAAATAGTACCTAACAAAAATCCTTTACTATACGATAAACTAGACACGATTACAAAATCTTTTGGATCCCCAGAAAAAAAATCGAGTGAGGAACCTTTTCCCAAGTTTTAGTGAATTTGCCACAATCTTTAGATTTTTGCCAGTTTTCTGGTACATTATTTGGACTTTGTTGCAATTTTACTGTGCAAGTTTGGCAACTCTCGGTTGGCTTTTACGAAAGAGAAAGACAAGACTCCTGGATTGAGGAATCTTTCCTTAAAACACATCATGGCTTATTTATAAAAGATCGTAACTATAATCGAAATCGTTCATGTTGTATATCATTAAGTAAAGATAACACTTACAAAATGATACTTGTGATCGGTTGGCTTTTTCGAAGGGGATGTGTTACTTGTGATGGCAGCTCTTCAAAAGGATGGTCAATAGGATTACTCGCCGTTCGGAAATATTCTAAATAATATTTGCTCGATGATTCAGGCATTGCCCTAATGAAAAGTTGGTTTTAGCGGTATGGAGACGAATAAAGTGGCGCACAGATTAACACGAATGAGTCTGAGTTGTGATAATAATATTCCTTGGTTTAAAGAACCTCCTGATGTAATTGTGGATTTTCTCTTTGAGGATAGTAATTCCTAATTTGTTTCGTGCAGGACACTCTTTTTCCTTTCAATCGGGTTGAAATTCCTGGCAAGATATTATCGAGACCCACTGTATGCACCATATCCTCATTGATTGTATGTATTTCTATCATTAATGAATATCGTACATTTTCTAAAAAATACCTACAAAAGAATCATTTTGACACCGAACTGTATAAAAACAAAAAGACGGATTCAGTAAAAGCATTATAATTCGTCTAACTATTTACTATAATTGATTGACCAAACGATTTTAAGTTTAATTGATTTTTTGTAGAGATAATTTTTATAGATTAATTTATAATATAAACAATTTTGATTACAAATACGAAAATTTGTGAATGGACTACGAAGTATTTTGAAGAACTCTTTTTAAAGAGTGAAGCTCTTCTCTTTTATCAAAAATGAAAGGGATGGCTTTTACCAACCATTGTGATTGGATGGTGCCCGTTTCTTTGTGGGTCCGCAAATATTTGGTCCATGGACAGTAGTCCAATGTGAGGATCTTGCAAGTTGAAATGGGGCACAAAAGCCCAATTATTAAATGCACGTGCCTAAAAGGCTAAACTCAAACTCTATTTTTTGTTGTAATTTTTTTATATTTTTGGTTTTTACACCATTAAAGTTGGTTTATGTATAATTTAATTTAAATAAATTTGTGTCAAGCTCGTCATTCACAAAAGTAGAACGAAAATTATATTTGTTGCTATTTAAGTTTATACTTCAATTATGACGGGTATACAAGAATTGGTATCGTACTAATTTTCGACTTCCTAGCATGTTAAAACACGTAAAAAAAAAAAGACATCAGTGGGCGACTGATTAAATTTTGTAACTAAGCAACCAAGTATCAAATCAACTAGAGATAAGTAGTTGATAACTTTTATCAATTTCAAATAAGTAAAATCATGCATCTAACAAATCAGTGCTTATTGTACAAAACAATTACAATAAATGAACCAAAAGAATCATCAAACCAGAGGCTATAGCGATGGACATGGTGGCTGATTAATATGTCTCCAAAACTGAAGGGATAAGAACAAGCAGAGAAGCCAGTTGTTGCAGACACTTGTTAAAATGGGTATGGTAAGTCAAAGGTTCTCTTATATTCCAACAGGCTCCATCTTCTTCAATTCACGTCTATATTGTTAGGCACATTGGGACCAAGGTGTTCCAGGAACACCCAGAGACCTATAAATAAGCATGTGAAGGTCTTTTGGGAATCTTCTAAATGTTTTATAGGGTATTTTTTTGTGCCTATTAAGTGCCAATTAGTAGAAGGTAAGGGCAAAAGCATGTAAGTTGTCCTTGCTATTCACTCTAAACAATACTTATCTTTGTGCAACTCCACCCTTTCGAAGAGGGCAAGGGCAAGTAAATATTTTTTTTAATCTTTTATGCTTTGAAAATAAAACAATTGTAGCAAGTGGTTCTCCACCACTTGCCCTTGATTTTGTGGACTACTTGAGAAGTTTTTTGAGCTTGAGGGAAACATTGTTGCCTTTATCCTTGCTTTTCACCAATTAGCGGAGATGCTCTACATGTTTGATGTAATTTCTGCTAAGTATATATCGGTAGGTTGCGTCAACAACACTCGATAAATGCTCTGGATAACACTCATTAGATTGCTTCAGCAAATGTTGATATATGTTGTCATGTGCGCAACATATTTCATCTGAAGACAACAAGCTTATCAAGTGTTCGACAAAGGAAAAGAAAGATGGAGAGGTCTTGGTTATTTTCAGTTTGAAAATTTTATTTATTAAAATAATTTATGTTGAGTTTATTTTATTTTCCATGTCACTACCACGTCATTTAATAGTATGAGCACAATTATTTTAACTTTTAATTAGGACTTTAGATATAATTATATCCAAGAGTTAGTTAGGAGTGTAAAAAATGTTTGTCAAAACATTTGTCTCTTGATCCTAACCCATACATTTGAGTGCTTAATGATATCCCATATCTAAATGTAGAGAGATATAGAGAGACTCAAATAGTTCCATGCACCTTCACGGATGAAATGACAGTCTTTTAAGTATGACTCACACCACTATATGATATTAATAAGAGAATTTTAACGAAAAGTTATCGGTACTGTTTACTTTAATAAAAAAATATATTTTTACACAAAAAGTCAATTCTGGTACTATTCACTTTACCATTTATCTTGTTTTTATCGTTAAAACTTAAAACTTTCAAACCATTTTCATTAATTTTCCTTATTAACAATTCACTTGTATTATTCTGCTTATAACGAGTCACTCGTATTATCACATGTTCATGCATTAGTAAAATCACGTGCTGATTTGGCCACTGCACCGAAAAATTTCTCGATGTGGACCCCAGCCAATTATTAGAATCATGTAAAGCTCGAGCGTGGCATGGTCTTTGGTTCCTAACTGAAACAAGAAGTCGTTGCTACTTGCTAGTGTATATCTGAAAATGAATGAATCAGTTCAGGACACATATGGCTGGAAATTAATGATGAAACTTGTGAGGATGGTAGGCCATGGAATACCACGTTCTTTGGTCTGGCATTTTGTATCTTTTTGGCCAAACACTTGCTAAGCCAGTAAAAACCATGAAACTGAGTACTTTAAGTGATGAACTGTAACTAGTTTTTTTATTTTTTTTTATTTTTTTTATTTTTTATCACGTTAAGTTACTTTTGTTACACAATTTATGTAGAACATGTGTTCTTACATGTAGAGATTAGATACACACCAAACTGGGTAGAAGAAAATTGCTCCTTACAGACAATCTTGGCCACTTTAGGAATGTTGCATTTTCAAAACTCAGAGACTTTAAATTAATCTGCTTCAGTTAAAAGTAGATGCGGATCACGCTAGCTGGGTACTGCAGTGTGTTTGACCCTTCGTATTCAAGCTAGAATTTTCCATTCCAATAAATTTCTTTAATTTAGAACATTGCGCTTTAATAGAAAATAATGGGAATTGAGCACAATTACTTTTCACATGCCACTTGCTGAAATGATTTGAGTTTAGTATATATCGTGGATATTTGATCATTGTATCGTCAATTATTGATAACTACCTTGTCGGTGTCCAATAGTTACGTCGCTGATATTTAATTTTAATCAGTTCAACAATTGAGATTTAATTTTCGGTCATTTCAACTAATGTCCCCAAAAGTAACTGACTTTATAGAAACCAAGTTAGAATTAACGTAGGAATTGTGGGGGCAGTTATTACAACCAAAATAGAGACATTAACTTCCCAACTGCTTTAGAAGTTTCTTTCATAAGATTCATAAATACATAATGTTGGGTACGTTTACTCTTCTAAGTGACTTGTTGACTAGGGAACAAAAATTAGCCTCAAAATCTATCTTTTTGTCCAGGTTAGCCAATCTCAGTAAGTAGATAAAATAAAATCTTATATATTGCACTAAATTTTCACTTGGCCAAGCAGTTAAAACTCAAAGGCCCATCGAATTCCACTCAAAATTTGGTCAAACTCTTCAAAGTTGCAACGACAGAATGCTACCAAAAGGATAAAAATAAACAGTCAAAAATCTATAAAATGTGCAGTATGATTAAGGTTCACATTTCACGCATTAACGTGGGGTTTCATTCTACTGAAGAATTCAACTCGGATTCAGTCAGCCTTATTCGCCGTGGATGCAGATTAGCTAATACTTATTAAACTGCGGCAGATTATCTGTGGCTTCCTCTTTCGAGGGATCAGATGTACGATACCTATGGCGTTGAGATGATAAAAGCCAGCATTGTACTGTGAACTGTAGAAATCTGTGGCTTTTGTCGATTTTTCTAGAGATTACATAGTAATTAAGCTGAGATGAGATAATTATCGTCCCTCCCTTGATTAGGAGCTTATATATGTCCTAAATGTTGATTGAAATGGCTTAAATTTACAACCAGTAGCATTGCGTGCAGGGAAATATATGTTTAATTTGAAGAGGTGGATCAGTTCATGGTGATTAGGATAAAGTCTCAGGCTCTTAAAAAGGAAAACCCTAGAAATATTACGAGCTGCAGCCAGCAGTGGAAGAGAAGAAACAAAATTCGGTGATTATATAGAAAAATATCCTACTTAAAAAAAACCAAGAAATTATATGGAACCAAATGGCAATCGATTAAGGCCATACATATATATATATATAGCGGGCCGGGTGGAAATTAATATAATTAAGAGAAAGAACATACATTTAATTACCATCATACATAATTTAATAAACTGATTAAGATCGAAATGCATGGCATCACAATTCACAAGTAGACCCATCTCATAGCTTGTAAATCTTGGAAAGCGCTTGCAAAACATTAACCTGCAACCTCAGCTGGAGTATATAATCTGCGGTTTGAAGAAAAAGCTGGTCCGCCTTCAACCCTTTCCCTCCCGGAATCAACATTTGCAGCTTCTTCACCTTCACCTGCACCCTCGACCTGCCTCCTCCACCGCGGCCCCTCGCCACCTGCCTCCGCCTCTGCCTCCTCCTCATCTTCATCGTCTTCATCTTAGATGAAAAAGAAGAAGAAGAAGAATAGCCTCTCAGGCCATGAAAATTATTCAAAGAATAATTATTCATATTGTATGGTGTTTTCCAAGGTTTGCTAGCTAGTGCAAATAATGTAACACAAAGGCAAAGGCAGAACAAAAATTGCCAAAAAAACCAGAGAAAGAATGATTTGTTGAAAGTTTGGTTCTAAAATTGAGAGAGATGATGAATGATGGGAGGGCTAGGCTAATGCAGTGCTCTATAAATGAAGGCAAAACTACTAAACAGGACGACGGGGCCATGTGAGCCGAGCCATTCATGTTTGTGTTTGTAATTTGGCTTTTTGGACTTGTATGGGCTGGGGACACCCTTGAATTTTCTCTCACGAGCACAATTTTGATGTCCTCTTTCCATATGGGGCATCCCCTATGGACCCCTTTAGCCTTCACCTTCAAAAAGACCCATGCACGTGTTTGCCAGCTCTCTAGGTTTTGAGTATGATTGTTACACCGTTACGTGTGAATTATATATACAAGGATCTTTATAGTGGTTTATATTCTACTTTTAACTGCATCGAGAATGTTTGTTATAAAACCTCACACATATATACACTGAGGTTTTTTTTGTAATGATGCCTCAAACCTAGTGCAATATTGCAAATGTAGTTAAGTTAAGAACAATATAAATGCGATTAGTAGGGAGTCGTTGATTTGTCTTTTAAAATTTTGACATCATGTAGTATTAGTTATCTACTCAAGACTCAAGTGGATTGATTTATTAAGAGAATCGTGAATCTTGAGACTCCAAAAAATTATTTTGCGTGTTTCTTTCTTTTTTTGTTCTCATCAAGGAAGAATGTATGATGTTTTTAATACTCTAGATTAAAATTTTTGTTAGGTTAATATATAACATATGAGTAATGTTAGGTACATCAAAAGTTTAAATTAAATTTTGTAAATTATGTGATGTGTCATCAATAAGAAATAAACACGTTAATCAACAATTAAGTAGTAATTTAATCACTAATAACCACGTCATATAATTTAAAAAATTGATATCCTTAACATTATCCGTAACATATAAGATTTAGGTTAGCGTGAGTCACATAATTGCATGTAATTAGTGATACGAGGGATTTCTCTCCCACCACACTCCAGTAGGGTATTAAACTTGTATTACCACATCTGTCTCGTAATCCCTGAATCCCGGCAGTTGCCGTCCTCACACGTGTGCAGATGTGATTCTCCACGTCACCCTTTCCTCAAACTCATATCTCACGGCTCATAATCGATCACACACACTAGGACACCACTGTAGGAGTTTGTTACTTAGTGTGTTATCCAACCTACGCACGAGTGATCAAATATTAGGAGGATATAGGCGCATAACTTGGGAGATTTACAACCGTTGGATTAATTTGGTGATATATTAATTATATTCTTGTACAATATTTGCTTTAAGGAAAGTAAATTAATTAACTAATTTGTGCCATATTGTGTTATGTTGGCTGGCAAAATTTGAATTAAAATGTAACCAGTTTGGATGGATAATTGTATCAAGTGGGTTTTGTAACGTGGTTGGACCCAATAGGGCATGTTACCTCCTCAGTGAGTTCATATATCCATCGTCTTCTTTTCCAAACAGATTATAGTAGATGAGGGAACATGTGTTATGTGATCAACCATATTTTTCTTATTCAGGTAAATGAAGATTATAATCAGCTGTATGTATGAATGGAAGGAAGGTAGTATGGGCACCATTTTTGCCAACTTGTCCAATGTTCTTGATGATGAATAATTTTAGCAAACAATAATTAATGTTTAAGACATGTCACATTTTAGTATCGCATGGTCTGAAAAGTCGTGGTTTGTACATTATCTTATCAGATCTTAATGTATGTATATATATGTTATTTATATGCATATATCACTTGCCTAATTGCATGATATTAAAATGTGATACAAAAATGCAGTATGTTCAATTATGAAAGAAAAAAATTTGTTGAATTTATGTATATTAAAATTTCTCTGCCGGCTTGTAGGATACACAACATGACCTAAACCCTAACCCTGTAATATGTGAAGAAAGACTACCATTGTATATCACATTTTAATACCTCATTATGTGTACATAAATGTCGGTTCATGAATTTCTCTCATTACATAGTAGCTAGTTCCATATATCGTTTATCACATTATATGATGCGACGCATTATTCTGAAGTTGTTTTCTCAATAAGGATGATTGTAGTACAACTTTTTTTTTTATAAAACAAAGGGTAGTGCTATTCACACACTTTTATTAATTTTTGTCTATTGATCTTCTTCAATTCATTTGATTCAAATAACATAACTTGAGAGAGGTGCGTGAGGCGTAAAAAGGGGCATGCATGTAAATAGCACAACCCTAAAACAAAATGCATGATTAATCTTAACTTTTTAAAGTAGGACGATGTAGATGTGAAACGTCCATCCTTACACCCGAAGGCAGATGGTCTAATACGCTATGGGAGCCTGCCGCCCCGTGTATAAGAATCTACCAAGGCCAACCCTAGCAAAAAGGTTCGGATTTTGGTGAACCCCTCTAGCTAGCCTATGGATTGCGTAAAAAGAAATATCGTGAAAAGATGAACTAGCACACCAGCTATTTCAGCATGCATGACCTAGCGGTCCCCTACAGGGCGATCGGAAAAATTTCCAGGGTTTAAGAGCGACATCGAACCTACGCATGTAAGGTATGAAGACGACATATATATTTATATACACGCATACACACCCACACACTACATGAGCACACCCACACACACACATGTAAATACACCCGTATTCTACACATACATTAATGCATGCAGATGCAATTAATTAAGGACGACCCAAGCCAATAAGGCTATCCGCTTTGCGAAATTGAAGAGGAACGTCTATCATGTGCAATCTTAAGCTTACATTAATGCATGCAGATGTAGTTAATTATTAAAAATTCAGGCTCATGGTATCATATTTGTGATCATATATATGCACGTACATGTAGATTTTTGAGATATATATATATATATATATATATATATATATATATATATATATGTACACAAGCACACACGTGGCTCATGGTATCATATTTGTGATCATATATATGCACGTACATGTAGATTTTTGAGATATATATATATATATATATATATATGTACACAAGCACACACGTGGCTCGTGGGTTGAGTTAACGCAAACAAGCCGGCCGGGGGATGAATAAAATGAGGGGATATTGAAGAAATCATATGCATTGTCGCAGAGAGAAGCCAACTATTAATATTTGACGTGCATGCTTGCTGGCAATAATCGTGATTTATATCAAATACAGCGTTCGAAAATAGATGTTTTCGATTGCTTTGACATTACTTGACATTTAATCTCGACCAACTGAGTAATGGATCGGGTAGGCACGTCATGTCAACTACGTGGTGGTTGCTTTCTATCGATAGCCATTTGATGTTGGCTATTCATATTAACTGAGTCAGTTTGAAGGGCGGTTGATCAAATATACTGCAGGCGACAACTATGCATGATGCTTGCATGCATGAATAAAGTGAAATTGAGCCAGAATTTGTGCTTTTTATGCATTGAGATTTGAACACAAGATTTTAGATGCAAAAGTATCATGTAAATTATCAGCTCTTTGTAATACAAGAGTTACGTATTTATATAATCATCTATTACATAAGTGATATTATTAATTTGGCGCAATAGGTTAAAAAAATATGTCATATTTACTAGAGGAATGCACCACTTATTACAATATAGTTAAAAAAATGAATATAATCAACTTTATTTACATATAACGCACGACCAAAAGCTTTGACATGATTTTTTGGAGGTCAACTTGGTGGCCACTTACAATCTGCACTCGATATATATGCATGTGGCATGTCAACTCATTGATCTGTTGTCACTATTGATTCCATATGTATGGCCACAAAAAGATGTTGTCAACAGTAAATTAACCTAAAAATTATGATCATTCACATCATAATATTTGGTTTAGAATTTTCGCAATGAGTATGTTGCAAACATTCCATCGAGTCAATATTAATTGATCAGATGAAAACCAAATGAGTATAATATATAGAAATACCTCCTTATAAATAGAGACGTTTGTTGTGTAGCTAAATTATTTATGAACTTTATTTTTATGATTTTTTTAATACATGAGGTATTTCAACTACTACGGGGTGGCTCAGGAGCTGGAGATGAATTCCAGGCCCGTATTCCACACGGCATGTCCTGAGTTTGGTTCTTAACGCTGATGAATTACACGATGGTGACCAGGAAGATGTTGAAATGCCTTTCTGAGTCTTCCTGGTCCCCGAAAATGGTGGACTGTCATGACGAAGCCCATCAGCTTGTCCCATTTTAAGAAATACAAATACATGAGGTGTTTCATCAAATATTGGTGACAAATTGATCTCCTCCAATGCAGTTGTGGTAATTAATTATTTCACATGTATATATCAATTCATGTTTTAGAATTTTAATCATGTGGTTCTCATTAGTCTATTATATTAGCCCACCTCACACAAATCAAAAATCCGAATCTCTCATTCTCTCTTTTCTACGGCCGAATTTTTGAGTCATTGAGCTCTGAACATAGTGATTCGGAGACGATCTCAACTTGCTTTGGTATAACATAAAGACTAGCGCGTGACTCCTACTTTAATGAACTACATACTGTAGACACACCACGTTCCATTGAAACAACGTTATGGAAATAGAGAGATCGAGGTACACGTGATGCTGATCCTCATGAATAAAAACCAAAAACACAAAGTCACATGAACAGGCGCGATCCGGGTAGGGGACCTCGTCTAATATCAATTACAAATCCACATGAGACTGAGTCAAGTAGGGTACGTAGTTGTAGTAGTGGACAGATCAAGCTAGGCTTAGACATAGAGTGGTGGTCGAGGTCTTCAAAAGAGTCTCTTTGTCCACCTATCCATGTAGGTCTAGCTATAGCTAAGCTAAGCTTAGTTTGTCCCTCTAAGTTGGTTGATAGGATTTGACCAAAAGAAAAGTTGCATGAAAGGTAGATCGAGTCTCCTGTCTATGGTTCCAAGGTTGGAGTATTGAGATTAAATCTACTACCATTTATCTTACATAAAATGTATGTCATCAAACTTGTGCAAGATTATATTTTATCCAATCCATATTTGCTTTTGAGTATAAATATGTAAGATTGTATTAATCAATAGACACAACTTGACACTTGCCGTTCCTTTTTTATTGACAACGTGGCATCATTTATTGTATAAACTTCATAATCAATA